TGGCATGTTTAAAGAATGATGTTTCCATGAACATCAAAAGCCATTTTTTAGTATTAATTTGCATGACACTGTAAGCTAGTGATGGTATGGATCATGGATGGAAAATGATGGCTCATGGACTAAATCTGGTCTATAGCCTTTTTGTTGTTCTTAGCTAAAAATAGTTTTTACATTTTTAAAGGATTGCCCCCTCCCCCTAAAAAGTCAAGAAAAAAAGACTATGTGATAGATACCAAAAAAACCCCCAGTGCCTAAAATATTGATTAGCTAATCATTTACAGAAAAAGCTTGCCACCTCATGTACATTCAATAGATCTTTATTTTTATTTCATCTGGGAACACCTTCTCCTCTTCCATTTTTTAACGATGCCTCTTGGAAAAATACATTCTTGATGTCTAAGCAGATGAACTTGGAATCCATCCAGCTAACAAGCTGGGGACTGTCTGAGCCTCTCTGCATTTTACGTGCCAAGTGCAATGTCAGGCACAGGAGAGGTAGTTTGCTTCTGGTGAGGATCAGTGCATGCACAATGACCTGCAGGCTCATTGTAGGAAAAGGATATTTCTATAACTTTTTTAGGACCTTGGCCTTCCTGAGGATCTTCAAGTGATAATCCCTGCTGGTTTTGTCTTCCATGGCACCAGGGTTGAGCAAACAGCTTCCTACCCTGCCTGTCCCTTTGCTCTGCCATTGTCTATCTAGGGACAAAGAGCAGAAGTAGACACGCCTGTCTTTTAGTCAATGAGAGACCTGTAGATAAATAAGCACTCAGCCCCTGGCACAATCCTTTGTGTCCCAACTGCTGACAGAGAGAGCAGAACAGAAGGTGTAAATAGAGCTGTAATCATAGGTCAGAGGTGAATGAGTGACCCAGGAAAGTCAGAAGGTCAAGAAACAGTCAATCTTGGGAACCTTTGAGGTGTTGTGGAAAAGGAGACTGGATTTGGAGATAGTCAAAGAGGTCCTCGCCCCCTCTCCCATTTCTGTTTGCTAAGTGCAGGTACTAATTTCTCCCTCAACTTTCTACTTGCATGGGAATGAGTTGAGATAAGAAAATTACTCTGACAGCTATTAAATGTTACATAAATGGGTGAAAATATTGAACTCAAGTTGGGGTTTTCTGTCTTAGCAAATTCTGTAATGGTTTTAAATTCACCCACTGTGTTCATGCGTTTTAATAGTCTGGTGCTTTCATTATTTTTTTTCCCTTCAAATACAGTATAAATTTGCTCTTAGATTTTTTTTAACCTAATTAAGTCTGTATTTTTTCATAGTTTAGCAATAAACATTTCTAGTTTGTAACGTGGCTTCACTAAGTATGATATGAAATGAAAGTAATGTAGTAACTCCTGAGCCACACACAAAGGAAAGGCAATTATTTGGTCTTTCAAAATGAATAGGCAACCAGCTTCAGGGCAGTTCTTTGCTTATCAGTTGCAGCAAAGCACTGCTAAACCATTCTGCTTTGAGCAATACCTATTAGGTAAGTCTTTCTCCTCCTCATTTCCTTACCCTCCCTTCACAATCTTCCTTATAGGCAGGAGAACCAGTAATTCATGTTGCAGTGGAAAAGAAGAAATGACTGTTTCCTGCATAGAGAAGATAAGGCCCACTCTCAACCTTGCCCCCATGATATCTGGGGATGGGGAGCATGAAAGAAACACTACTGGTGGGAGTATTGCTAAGGGACCCGGTGTCCTCCACTGAAATTCTAACTTGCTTTTGCTAGCCCAGCCCCATGGTATCTCCACTCACTCCTCTTGCAGGGACTCTGGAAACCACTGCTGCCTTTGCCTTTTGAAGATGGAGGATGCCACAGTAGCCTGGCTCAGCCCTGCTCCATAGCAGTTTGTAGACCTGGAGCAGATGTGAACAGTATTCCAACTGGGCTTGACCGGTCTGTGTACAGGTGGTTTCATAGTTAAAAGTCCTAGTAGTGTAAAAAGAGATCAGAATAACCAGTGAGAATACCTCTGGTGCCTCCACATTTGCCACCTCCGCCTTCTTCTTAGTTACCCTGTTTTTTGCTTAGAGGGTTTCCCTTCCATCTGCTTGGACTCATTGCTGATGAGCAGAGCTCTTTCCTTAATTATGTTCACAAGTATTTTTACATAGGCAGATCTTTTCTGGCAAGAAGACCTGGGCAGAACCCGCCCCAGATGGAATGGAGAATGTTTGTCAAGCTGGATTAAGCAGCTGTGATTAAAGAGTGCACGATTACCTGCCCACAAAAATAGTTCTGAAAATGTTCTCAGAGAGGTTTTGTTTTGTTTTGCTATAGGGTGCGTGCGCTCGCCAGACAGACAGAGAGACAGAAAGCGAGAAATCACCCCCTAGGGGAGATGGCCACGCCGCAAATCCTTCTCCTCCATTCTCCTCTCAGGATCCTGGGCACGCATGCACATGCACCCGGCGTGAGTTTTAAGCCACCGGGTCCAGGACACGAACCGCGGTCGACTACATGGGAGTTCAGCGACATAGCCATTACGCTAACTGCTGGTCCCCCTGAAAATGTTCTATCACCCAGACTGTCAAACCTATCAGAAGGTCTGTATGATGGTTCGCTTTGAAGAGCAAAGAAGCCAAGATGCCAGGTCCTTGTGAAAGGAAATCTGGGACCAAGTGGATGCTACCTAACAAGTAGCCACAGTTGTCCACTACTGTCTTGTTTTCAGATTGCCTAGGTCTCTGGATACCTGTTTTTTTCCCTTCAAATACAGTATAAATTTGCTCTTAGATTTTTTTTAACCTAATTAAGTCTGTATTTTTTCATAGTTTAGCAATAAACATTTCTAGTTTGTAACGTGGCTTCACTAAGTATGATATGAAATGAAAGTAATGTAGTAACTCCTGAGCCACACACAAAGGAAAGGCAATTATTTGGTCTTTCAAAATGAATAGGCAACCAGCTTCAGGGCAGTTCTTTGCTTATCAGTTGCAGCAAAGCACTGCTAAACCATTCTGCTTTGAGCAATACCTATTAGGTAAGTCTTTCTCCTCCTCATTTCCTTACCCTCCCTTCACAATCTTCCTTATAGGCAGGAGAACCAGTAATTCATGTTGCAGTGGAAAAGAAGAAATGACTGTTTCCTGCATAGAGAAGATAAGGCCCACTCTCAACCTTGCCCCCATGATATCTGGGGATGGGGAGCATGAAAGAAACACTACTGGTGGGAGTATTGCTAAGGGACCCGGTGTCCTCCACTGAAATTCTAACTTGCTTTTGCTAGCCCAGCCCCACAATGGTATCTCCACTCACTCCTCTTGCAGGGACTCTGGAAGCCACTGCTGCCTTTGCCTTTTGAAGATGGAGGATGCCACAGTAGCCTGGCTCAGCCCTGCTCCATAGCAGTTTGTAGACCTGGAGCAGATGTGAACAGTATTCCAACTGGGCTTGACCGGTCTGTGTACAGGTGGTTTCATAGTTAAAAGTCCTAGTAGTGTAAAAAGAGATCAGAATAACCAGTGAGAATACCTCTGGTGCCTCCACATTTGCCACCTCCGCCTTCTTCTTAGTTACCCTGTTTTTTGCTTAGAGGGTTTCCCTTCCATCTGCTTGGACTCATTGCTGATGAGCAGAGCTCTTTCCTTAATTATGTTCACAAGTATTTTTACATAGGCAGATCTTTTCTGGCAAGAAGACCTGGGCAGAACCCGCCCCAGATGGAATGGAGAATGTTTGTCAAGCTGGATTAAGCAGCTGTGATTAAAGAGTGCACGATTACCTGCCCACAAAAATAGTTCTGAAAATGTTCTCAGAGAGGTTTTGTTTTGTTTTGCTATAGGGTGCGTGCGCTCGCCAGACAGACAGAGAGACAGAAAGCGAGAAATCACCCCCTAGGGGAGATGGCCACGCCGCAAATCCTTCTCCTCCATTCTCCTCTCAGGATCCTGGGCACGCATGCACATGCACCCGGCGTGAGTTTTAAGCCACCGGGTCCAGGACACGAACCGCGGTCGACTACATGGGAGTTCAGCGACATAGCCATTACGCTAACTGCTGGTCCCCCTGAAAATGTTCTATCACCCAGACTTTCAAACCTACCAGAAGGTCTGTATGATGGTTCGCTTTGAAGAGCAAAGAAGCCAAGATGCCAGGTCCTTGTGAAAGGAAATCTGGGACCAAGTGAATGCTACCTAACAAGTAGCCACAGTTGTCCACTACTGTCTTGTTTTCAGATTGCCTAGGTCTCTGGATACCTGCAGATTGGCATTCTGAACCCTTTTCCCACAGTGACATTTGTGAAATTCATACTACCTGCAATGCCTGGTAAAATTTTTATATCACTGTTCTTCTCTTTAACTGAGAAAAACAAAAATTGGAACACAGATGAGTGAAAGGGAGTGAAATTTTATCTGTTTCCCTTTATTTTAAAAAGAAATATACGTCCTAAAAGTGCTCATGTTAACTGTGGTTGGTAATCAATAACTTCAACATACCACTCAATACATTTCCTATCCACAATTGTATTTTGCTGTTCTTGGCCAATATGGCTTCTTCTGCATTCTCTCTTATGTCCATCCTTTCTCAGTGTGGTATTATTTGTCTTTCTTGCATTCCAGACTATTATCCCCTGAACAGTAGTACTGTCTGATAGAACTATAGATACAAAACCCTCCCAACAGTGACCTGCTCTTAGGTGTGTCTGGGTTGGAGATTGGGTGGCATATTTGTCAAGGCTAACTTGGAAGCAAATCTCAAGGAAACATAATTAAAATGTGTGAGTGTGGCTTGGTATCTTTCAGCATCCTAATCCAAACCAGAAGATTTTTATCCCCACTACTTATGAAACAGGGTGCTATGGAAAATGTGCAGGCTTAGAGTTAGGGAGACCCAGGTTTGAACCATGGTTCCATCTTGGACTTAGGCTAGTCCTTAACCTTTCTCACCCATCAGATTTTCATCTCTTAACTAGGAATAGCAGAGTTGCTATGAGGTTTAGAGACAATGGGTAAAAAATGCCTTGGAGTGCCTGGCACACAGTAAGACTGCACAGGAAAGCCTTAAGAGAATATTTATTTCCTCCAGTCTTATTGTCTACCCTGGATGAACCAATCCAAGTAGGTAGTGAGCATATTAGAAGCCTTAAATTTTTGAGAGTGTTAAACACATGAAGTGGTTACCAACAGAAGCAGTTTTGGGTAAGACATGAGAGAGGTAAAGGAAAGAAAACTATGATGAACAAAATGCTTTTCTCAAATCATTCAATAGTCTGGGGTGATTTTTGCATAAAAGATTCAAGGTCTTTCTTAATGTATGCAACTTGAATTGTAAAATAAACTAAAATTTTGCCTATTTCATATCACATTGACTTTTGTGATGATCAAACAGTCCCAAAGCAACTGCTTTTTACAACATATGAGAGAAGACATTTAAACCACTGTTACCCTGGGCAAATTCCTCAAACTCCAAATAGAAGCAGTAAACATGTTAGTATAAATATGACAATCATTTGCTTAACTGTAACCATTTTAGATAGTTTTTGGCATGCTTAAAGGTACAGGGATTTTTGTGGATGAGTAAAAAGTAACTCAACTTGAATATTGTTTATCCCACTTTGACTAAGTTTTGACTAGTTTCTTATAAAATTGACATGTTTAAGCTCAATATCACACTATGAAAAAGGAAAACAAAAATGTTAAAAATTTGCTTCCCTGGAGGGAGGAGGTCTGGGGAAAAGGGTAGTAGACAATTATTTATGGGTAGTTTTACACAGATACAATGTCATGGTTTTTATTTGTTGACCAAAAGATTTTCTAGTTGTTTATTTTCATTAGAAGTGGCATTAACACTAGCTTTCTGGTGTACCTTGCTTTCCTATAGCTAACATTTAAAATGATACAGGTGTTTAAAAATCATCTCTAACATGAGATTATATTTTGCTCAAGAAAAATGACTACCATTCTCCCATAGGGATACTCTTTCTGAGCATCTACTTGGCAAGAACAAGAGTGATTTTTAAATTCACCTTCTGAAATAAGGTCCTCCTAACAATGAAACCTATCTTTCCTTTCAAGGTTGAAGAGAAGTGAGATTTGTATATTCAAGTTCTTGTAGATGCTTTCTTCTCTTCTAGAATGTGTAATAGGATATCCACATCTGGTAGAGCTGTTGTGGAATATGCCAAGAGACCCAAAGAATCTTGCTAACATCCAAGTGTCAGAATTCAGATTCTGAACAAAAGTCTAGTATCTGGCCAATAAGAAGACAGCCTCCCCAAGTTGGCTTCTGAAATGGAAGCAGTTGCATTCTAGATGATCCAAATCAATTAACAACAAAATCCAAATCCACGTGGATAACCTCCACTGCAACGTGGAAAGAGATTTGCTCTTTAGAAGAATTTAAGGGAAGTATCATTTTGCTGTCAGGGAGAAAGGGAAGGATGATGGGGTGAAGGCTATGTAACAGCTATCACCTGCTTAGAAATTCTCAGAGGAGGTTAGGCAAACAGAAGAGGCCATGAAAATGCTCAGTAGTTTTAGACTAGTAATTTTTATGAAGAATTACTCTATAAAATCCCATTTCAAATTCTTATTGTGGAATGACAGGCATATTTTAATTGTTACATAGAGTTAGCATCTTCTTCATTAGTTAGATACTGAGTTATTAAGGTTTACCCAAATTTATCATACATAAAAGAAAAAGGAGTGTATTCCACAAGTTCCTGCAGAAAGTGGGAACAGATGAAGTTGAATGGGTGACTGGATCTTTCACCAGAATAAATGGAATTTTGTCAAAAAATGTTTGAAACTCTTGCTTTAGACAGTTCTTTGGTGATCAGTCAGCACCTGTCCGAAGCTAAGCATTAGTATTTTTTAAATTTCAAGATGTATCTGAATTATAAGGCTCATTTCAACATGCCACAGGTGAAACCTCATTCATTATACTTTAGTGGAGCAGATGAAAGAAAATGCAAGTCAATAGTTTGCCTTTCAAAATATTATAAGCTCTGGGTTTTCATAACACAGTTCTGGAAAAAGTAAGCGATTTACCAAGACAGGTCTTTCTAGGCCACATCTAAAAGACTGTGGAGTAATTTGTCAGCCTCTATATTAGCATGAAATTACTACCCCACCCTAACCTCTTGATCTTTATATATGTTATAGAAGAAATCTTCCTTCATATGATCTTGGAATTATTTAATGGATTTTTGTCCCTAGTAGTTAAGTTTAGGAAACAACCCTCATGTCTATGGTTTTCTCTTAGGTAAAGCCATATGTACCCTGACTGGTTCTTTCAGTTCTCTCCAGACCAAGGATAAGAGAATATGTCTCTATTACATTCTGAAACACAATGCATACTCCACATCTTTGGGGAACAAGAAGCAGTGCCTGTCAAAATGAAGGATAAGGTAAATCACACTGTCGAGTTTCACCCAAGGTGAGAAGCTAGATATATCAGCAATGGTGGAGTTTTAAAACTTGCTCTAAAAATAATGTCCCTGGATATCAGCCACCATCTTAAAGCTCTCCTTGTCTAGGCCCTCTCCCCATAAATGTCAAATGTGGCTGTCAAGAAGTTTAGCCTGAAAATAAAATCCCCTCACTTCTATCAAGAAATAGCTCTAAACTTAGAGTGTGTACTCAAAATATTCATGATGAAATCATAAGCCTATATTTATAGTCTTTTGGATTGTGGATGAGATTCTGTTTCCCATGGTATTTGTCACAGAAAGGGCCAAACGTGGAAAGAGGGCTCAGGACGGCTAAGGGAGTCTTAGCTGCAGGGAAATGCTATTTAGCATCATTCTGAACTGGTTGGCTGCAAGACATCTTCCCTTTTCCCTGCTCACTGCCTGATGAGTTGGGTCCTCCTCTCCATTCCTAGGTGGTCCCTTCCTTTGGTGGTCCTTTCTCGTCCTCCAGAAAGAGTGAGTTGGCCTTCTGTATAAAAAAGTAGGACGGGTATTTAAGATAATCCCCTCTTCCACCTGACCTCTATCTAGACATCCTCCCCATTTTCACTGAGGGAGATGGTATGGATCTTAACAGTTGGAACCTGATGGTTCTCTCCAAGGCTGGGGGTAGAGGATCCCATACAGCAGCAGACCTGCAAAAAGCTTTTACTTCTCACCCGGGCTGTGGTGCAGGCTGATTGGTCTTTGGACACTGTAATCCTGGCAGATCCACGAGGCATGGAAGAGAAAAATTTCCATTCACAAACTCCATCCGTCTTGGAGATCTTATAGAAGGTCTCTCCTGATCCCACTGGGATGCGCACCATATCCTTGTGTTGCTCCTCCAGGGCGTGGCTGGGTGGGTGCAGTGTATAGCCCAGGGCATGTTTGGAAGACTGCTTTCTGCGGAGACACTGGATTCTTAAGACATTCTGAAAGGCCTTTTTGAACTCTTGACTGGAGCATGGGTATATGATTGGGTTGATGCAGCTGTTTAGGTATCCGAGCCAAAATACTATTTTAAAAACTGTTTCCGAGGGCTTGAAATTAGGGAAGAAAGACCCTGAAAGAAAATACACAGATTATACATATTATTATCTTGCAAGCCAAGCAAAAATCTTTGTGTGTGTTCATAACTTTTTTACAGAGTTATTTATTTATTTTTATTTATCATTATTATTTTTTAATTTGACCAGAGAGAGAGACAGAGTGGAAAAGTGAGAAAACAAGCTACCAGGTCTGGGACTCAAACTATGGTTGACCATGTGGCAATCCAGCTCCTTAACCATCTTGCCACCTGCCAGCCCATATATATATATATATATCTGTAAAAAAAAGTTTCAGATGATTCTACATGTATTTGAGTATCTCACATCTGACTGATTAGTCCCTGGGCATATAATTCTTTGATAACACCCCCTCAGACCATTCTTCCTTGCTCCATGTGGGTCATGAGAGTAGACCCATGATGGAGTTGTACCGGCTCTTAGTGATAGAATATCACTTGATGGCTATTGGGAAGCCTTAAAAAAAAATGAAAGTATGAAATTTAGACTGAGTTACATATGCCATAGACTGGGTTACATATGCCAATTGTGTTGCTTGAATTTAAAAATAATTTGGCATCCATTCAAATAATTGATATTGAAATTTAGTTACTTGAATTAGCTGTTTATCCTCTAAGTCAGTGTTATATAGTCACGACCTAAATATTTATGTATTTTCTTCCCTCCTGAATATTGGAATTTTGTATTTAAACAAGAACCTCAAATTTACAAAATAGCAGTTTTGCCAACTTTTGGGCATTTTTCTTTGATGATGCCTGTTGATGTTATAGTACATTACCCTTCTCAGTATTCCCCCAATGACTCCCAAATGTTTGGCTACTGGCTGACATTTGTGGTTCTTGCTATAGTAATATGTTATCACTCATTATTCCTTTGTTCTAACCAGACTCACCAGAAAACTTTTCTCCCAGTCATTGGTCATTTTATTTTTTGCAAGTTAGGCCACTGAGTTTCAAATGCCCTTTCCTATCCTCTCTACCTGCCCAAATATCATCCAGTGATTTATACAGCAGGAA